TCTTAGTATTTAAGTTACATTTTAGACCAAATACTAAAAGATGAGAAGAAAAAGCCCTTAAATTCTTCGTTGACAACAACGAAGACAAGAGCAGCCAGACCGACAGCAGTTACAACAACACATTCAACTGCAACGGTTGTAACTGCAGAAACTAGTCCATCTACTCCGGCTACTAATCCGACAACTACTCCGACTACTACTACTCCGGCTACTACTACTCTGACTACTACTACTACTGCTACTACTACTACTATTGCTACTACTACAACTACTACTATTGCTACTACTACTGCTGCGACTACTACTGCTACTGATGCCGCTACTACTACCACTATTCCAACTGCTAGCAGTACCGTCAATACAACAACTACAGATACTACAACCATTACTACAACCACAGCAGCTTCCCCAACAGTTATCCCAGAAGCGGTTAATCGTGATACTGCTAGTGTTACAGCAAACGCTGTTGAAGATATCAGTACTAATGAACAACCAGTAACCGGTATTAAAACAAAACCTATTGCTAATACCAATAATGTTATTGCAGTAATTAATAATGCTGCAAAAATAAAATCAAATGTATCTGTAATCAATGCCGCATCTAAATCTTCTGCAGATTTTATACAACAATCAGCCCAAAATGTTGCTAATAAATTGGAAGATATTGAAACTATAACATTTCAACCGGTTGAATTTACAGCTCAAAAAGAAGGTATATTTTTTTTTTTTTGCGATTTTTCCTGTCTGAAAAATTTTATGTTTTTTTTACTTTTTTTCTTTTTTTTCTTTTTTTTTATTTTTTTTTATAAAACTGTTTTATAAACGAAAAAATAAAGACAAAAAAGCAGTTATAATACGGTGAAAAATAACAATTAATTTCACCACGATAAGGGTCATTAGCGAATGAAAACAAAAAAATTTTCTCTCTGATAATCTAGGTGAAATTTTTAATGGTCATTTTTCTAATAATACTAAAAAAATAACGCCTTAATAAATCAATTAGGTTTTATATAAAAATAGGTTTTATTTGTTTATTTATTTATTTTTAATTCTGCTTTTAGATCATGATATGATTATAAACGGCAAAACTACACTTTCACTAATTGCCAATTCGTCAGAAAATGCCGAAAATAGTCAAAACAAATTTGCACAACGTTCAACGACAACCACTGGTAAAAGTTTACAAAAGTTAATATAATCATAAAAAAAAGAAATAGAAGAAAAACAAGAAAGTTTGATTATCATTAAAGATGCTTTCCTAATTAAAATATTAAAACAAATTTTATACATCTGTTTACATTTTAGCCACTTAAAATTCATAGGTTTTTATTGAATTTTTAGAAAAACCGTCTACGCGTTCTAATCGACCATCAACACCTAAAACCGCAGCTAACGAGACTGATATTATCCGTCAATTTTTATCTAGTCAAGGAGTACCAGAAAAGTGAGTTA